GCTTTTATCATGTGCTCAAAGTCCAGTCCCCTTGTTGTGTTTGCCCTTGATCTAATGTCGCATATGAGGGAGAACAACGATTTTTGTCTTTGGGCCAGGCTAACCTCAACTTCAGAATGATGTTCTCCAATTCCATCCATTTACGGCGAATGATAACATTTCGTTCTCTTCATGGCTGCCATAAAATTCCATTGTGTATAGATACCACATTTCTTGATCCATTCGTCATGGGGGGCATCTTGGCTGTTTCCATAACTTGGCTATTGTGAATAGTGCACAATAAACATGGGTGCGAGTGCCTCTGAGTAACTGTGTCACAGTCTTTTGGGATATCCCCAAGAGGTATTGCGGATCAATTGTATATCATGTTTACTTTTAAGTAGCACTCAAATTTTTTTCCAGAGGGTTGTACTAGTTTTGAGAGTGTGAGAGTTTTCCTTTCCCTGCATCTCGCCAACACCTGTTGTTGTGGTGTTGCTAATAATGGCTATTCTAACAGGGGTGAGGTGGAATCTTAGTGTGTTTTAATTTGCATTTCCTTTATTGCTAGAGATGTGAGCATTGTTTCATGGTGTTTTTGGCCATTTGATTTCTTCTTTTGAGAAAGTTCTGTTTAGTTCACTTGCCCATTTCTTTATTGGTTGATTAGTTTTGGGAGAATTTAGTATTTTAATTCCCTAATATTCTGGTTATCAGTCCTTTGTCTGATGTGTAGCTGGCAAATATTTCTCCCACTCTGTGTGTGTTCTCTTCAGTTTAGAGACCATTTCTTTTGATGAACAGAAGCTTTTAGTTTTATGAGGTCCCATTTATCTATGCTATCTCTTAGTTGTTATGCTGCTGGGGTTTTCATTGAGAAAGTTCCTTAACCTATACCTACTAACTCCAGAGTATTTCCTAGTCTTTCCTGTATCAACTTTAGAGTTTGGGGTCTGATATTAAGATCCTTGATCCATTTTGAGTGTAATCTGGTATTAGCGGTGATATACATGGATCTAGTTTCAGTTTTTTGCAGACTGCTAACCAGTTTGTCCAAGCAGTTTTTGTTGAGAGACTGCTTTTCTCCATCGATATTTTTAGCTCCTTTGTCAAAACAAGTTGGTTTATATTGTGTGATTCATATCTGGTTCTCTATTCTGTTCCACTGGTTTTCATGTCTTTTTTTGTGCCAAGTACCATGCTGGTTTTTATTGTTATTGCTTTGTAATATAGTTTTGAAGTCAGGTATCGTGATACCTCCTGCATTGTTTTTTGACTGAATATTGCCTTGGCTATTCGAGGCCTCTTGTGTTTCCATATAAATTTAACAGTAGATTTTTCAATTTCTTTAATGAATGGTCATTGGAATTTTGATGGGAATGTGGCATTATGTTCATGCCAGGTCATGTCGTATGCTTGGGTTAAATATTTGAATTCTTTTATGAGGAGGCTGCATCATTAGAGAAGGAGCCAAGCCTTTTCTCTATCTGTGAGGGATCAGTCATGGTAAAGGGCACATGGACTCTGATAATACCATCAGCTCCTGCCACTCCCAGAGAGGGTATAGATGGGCTGGCCAGGTTTGGGAAGAGTTGTGGGAACACATATGAGACACTGACAGAGAAGAGAAGGGTGAGGGCTTAGGAGGGGTTGGGGGAGATGCAGATTCAGGGGGCACTGACGGTGCAGGGTCAATAGTGACCACTGTGGAAGGGGAATATGGTGGTGGGGGTTTAGAGGAGCCAGCGGGGGATGAGGGAGGCGGTAGGTCAGAGCAGTGGGAGGATGGGGTAGAAGAAGAGGTCGGGGTGGAGGGTCGGCGAGAAGAGGAGCTGGGAGGTGGGTGGACTGAGTCAGTGAGGTCACAAGTAAAGGAAGAATCTTCTGAAGGGGGGTCAGTGGGAGGAAGAGACACAGAGTTTGAGGGGGATTTGTCATGGGCAAGAAGAATTTGGAAGGTGTGGCAAGATTTAATAAGGGAGGGTCAAGACTGAAGATACAAAAAAGCTTGGACGTATGGGAGCTTGGACCATTTGTTGTTGTGATGGCAGAAGTTGTCCAGGTCAGTAAGGGTGTGGAAGTAAAAAGTGCTGTTTTCAGGCCATTGGGACTGATTATCTAATTTGTATTGAAGCCAAACAGTATTATAGTAGAAGATTAATCATTTGGGCTTAATATCCTATTGGAGACCAAGGTCCTAGCTATATCAAATTTAGAGTGTGTGGTCCCCATGGTGTAGTTGGAAGGAGAGAGAGAGAGAGAGAGAGAGAGAGAGAGAGAGAGAGAGAGAGAGAGAGAGAGAGAGATAGGTGCCTTGGTGAGTTTAGGCCAATGTAGATCAGGTCAAGATCTAGCCTCCCTTACGTTTGGTCAAAGTAAGCTGGAGGGGACTGTCAAGCTCTCACTAGGTGGAAGAAAGGAAGACAGAGAGGGAGAGTAAGAGAGAGAGAGGGAGAGTGAGAGGGGAGAGAGAGAGGGACAAGTGTCACTAGAGCAGATTCCCAGAGGCAGGCATTCCCATCCTGGGTCACCATCCATAGAGAAAGCCCAGTCAGTTAGCCAGGCATCCCTGTGCTAAGCGGTGGGTGCCCAGCAGGAGTAGGAGGCGTACCTGATGTAGCACTACTGAGAGAAACAGAACAGGCGGCCCCAAGTAGGGTGACACTTATGAGTCCAAGGAGAGGAGTAGATTAGGTGGAGAGTAGTGGAAGGGAGTCTAGTGGTGGGTGGGTGAGCCAGCAAGGCAAAATGGTCCATAGGCACATGGGGTTATTTCGGCAGTCTGGGTTCTGGAGAGGGCAGGACACAAAAGCCAAGGGACTAGCCCTGGGCAGAGGCGTCCCGTTAACCTCTCCTGGATTTCAGCACCAGATGCAAGGAACTGATGGACAGAGACTGCACCACGTGTAGAAAAGAAAGATTTATGGGGGGCCAGACTGCTGGGCTGACTCTCAGGTTCAGAGTGCAGCAGCCCAGGTAGATTGGGTTGTGTGCTTTATAGGAAGTACCATCCATCAAAGGGGGAGGGTATCTGTTTCAAAGAACAACTGGGTTGTTGGGCACTGATTGTCAGTGATCCACCAGATGGAACAGGTCGACGTGTTCGGCAAGTTGAAGAACAGGAACTTGTTGCAGTTTTGCAAGCAGGGGAATTTTTGGAAGCAGTTATGCTTCAGGGGGCCTGATTAAAGACTGTATAGCCTCGGGACTTTCCGCCTGCCCTATGGATGTCAGGGAGCTAACACAAGTCACATTTTCTTCCACCTCCATCAATTTCTCTACACCTAGCTCATTCTTGGTGGACCATCACTTGTATTTCTTTCTTCCTTTCTTTTTTTTGGGGGGGTTGTACTGAGGTTTAAACACAGGGCCTCATGCTTGCTAGGCAAGTGCTCTACCACTTTAGCCATGCTTCTACCCTTTTTTGCTTTATGTTATTTTCAGATAGGGTCTAGCGTTTTTACCTGGGTCTGCCTTAGACCACACTCCTCCTTCCTATGTCTCCTGACTAACTGGGATTACAGAAAGAACCACCATACATGGCTTGTTGGTTGAGATGGGGTCTTGATAAATTTTTGCCTGGGCTATTCTCAAACTGTGGTCCTCCATCTCTGCCTCCCTAGTAGCTGGGATTACAGTTGTGAGCCACATGTCTGGTCTCCTCATTTTCTTTTAAGTAAATCTCATGAGACTTCTTGAATTTTTTTTTTTTTTTTTTTGGTGCTAGAGATTGAACTGAGGATCTCACACATGCTGGGCAAATGCTCTGTCATTGAGCTATACCTAGCCCATTCTGTTTGATAAATATTATATGAAATAATTAGCCACCAATTAGGTTATAAGCATGTCTTAATTATAGGCTCTATTTTGTTTTTATTTCCAGTTATTTGGTTTACTTTGTGATTAACCTTGTAAGTTGTTGTGTTTTCACATTAAAGTATTTGTAATATCTAAGTGAGTGACTAGAAGTTAGAGATTATGTATTTGTAAATTAAAGGGGCATATAATTTAACTGTGACATTTAATACTAGCTTTATTGACTGCTTCAAGGAGAGGGACTTACTATGTACAATAGTAGTAGTATTTTATATACTGTTTATACTTACTATACTTGTTTAGTACTTAAATATTATTAAAAATGCTTCCATGTGTGAAAGTACTACTTCCCAACTACATTATTTGATAGACAGTTGTATTTGGGAATTACGTAGCCAGATTCTGATGATATCTTTTGAGTGGCTAGGAATTCTTGGAAGCATGTATAGATATATCTGTGTATGTCCATGAGAAAGAGTATGCTGGTCAGGGAAAGGTGGGAAAGAGGCCTAATGTGAGAATGCTGATTCTAGATTAGTTATTGTTGAAAATACTTGTGATATGTGTGTTCATTTTATGCCTGACCTTCCTATAGAATTCAGCTCTGACTTTATTTGGAAAAGAGACTTAAGTAGAAGACTACCTTTAGTTATTTTTCTTTCGATAGTACAGAGAAAACTTGAAAACTTTTTGAAAATTAAAAACGAAATGAAACAGCCATCTAGTGGCTACAACTTTAAGAGATATATGCCAATAGTTTAAGTACCAAGAGCTCACATTAATACTGCTCAAGGGTCGTTATTAGTCATTCAAGCTAATCATCCTTTATTACACAAAGGGAATACATGCATTTGCATTACTAAATAATACAAAATTTTAATGAGGGGAACATACTATGTGTGACAGTTGAATAATAACTTTATGTAAATACCCTCAGAGGTCAGTTGAACTAGAATAACATTCTATTATGGTAAACAAATTTTCAGTTGTAATATGTATTTATCAGATTTATTAAATTGTGAAACTCCAGTGTCATATTATTTTAACATTTGTTATTCTGAAGCATGGGTAGAATCTAGGACTCTGTTCCCACGTAAATTAACCTATTGTAGTTGAAAATCAGATTTACTCAGTCTTCTGTAGAGTAACTTCTAGTTATTGATGGCTTAGGAACTTTATTGATGTAAAAATGAATTATTTCCCAGGAGCAAGATAGTGCTGTACAAAATATGCACAAGAAAGTTGAACAGTTAGAAACAGAACATATGGACTGCTCTGAGCTTTTACGGCGACAAACAAGTGAACTTGAATTTAGCACTCAACGAGAAGAACGTCTTAGAAAAGAATTTGAAGTATGTTTTATCATTACTTTATAACATACATATTTTTATCATATAGTGACTTAAGGCTAGAGAAAATTTTATACTATAAAACTAATTTTGGGGGGCTTGGATATTGTGTATTTGATTTCTTTGAAAACTTTTGAACCTGAATAAAGTATTTTATATTTTCCTTCTAATTTTTAAAAATCTCATGTTTAATGATTAATTTTCATGAAATATTTGGGAAGTTTGAGACTAATTGTTTATATTTTAAGGTTGTGGAAGCAACACAGGAAGTTTTGGAAAACATAGGTCTTTTATAAAAGTAATATGAAATTCTAATTTTATAGTTTGAATCGTTTGTACTAGCTGGTTTTGTGGAATGCTTTCAGGTGAGACTTTAGATGAGAAAGGAACATCATTTTACAAATGAAAAAATTATTTTTATGAGTTATGTTGAAAATAACCTTAATTTTGAGAGAAATCTAACTGATTTAATTTGTCTTGTTTTTAAAAACTTGCTTTTGCTTTCTGGGAAATGAAGTATTTAATGGATAGGAAGATTTTATCTCAGTTATGATTTATAATTGTTATTAGGTAAATAAACATTTATAAATAGTATGTAATAGTAAGTTCTAGAGGTATATTTGTTAAACACTGTGGTCATATAACATTGTTTTAGCCTAAGAAATACATTAAAGCAAAGACAGCGATAGGAAGTACAATTTTTAGTGGGCTGGGATTGAGGCTTAGTGGTAAGATATTTGCCTACTATGAGAAAGACCCTGTATTAAATATCCAGGGGCATCACACAAATATATATACAAATATATATGCAAATATATATATATATTTATATATATAAAGAGACATATATATGTATAAAACATCTGGAAAAAAGGCATTATCATATCTGGCTATAATAAAATATGTCAATTTTTCTTTCTAAAAGGATGGAGTTAATCATTCTTTTTATTTTCAGATGATATGTTTAAGTTGTATAGTTGAGAAAATCAACTTTAAAATTATACCAATAAAAACATTTTATTAGAAGGCTAGGCAGAAAATAATTTGTATAGCGATTGTTTATATTCTTACATGCTAGCAATAATCAGAGAATATAACATTCAAAAGAGATTCTTCACCACATTGACAAAATGTAGGAATAAAATTAACATCAAATACATTAAGGTTATAAAATTTAGGTGAACATTTTAAAAGAAAATTATGAGACATTTTGGAAGCACTTAACAATGCAAAGGTATTCATCCTCCCTAGATTATATTATGGGTTAGAGCAGTTCCAATTTAACTTCAATGGAGGAATTGTTTTGGATAGACAGAATCTAAAATTCATGTGGAAAACTAAGGAAACTAGATGAAAGTATTTAAAACCTTTTGAAAAAAGAAGAGTATGGGTAGGGACTTATTCTACCAGAAGTTAATATGTAAAGCTTCAGTAAGGTATCACCTGGGTTCAGGAAATCTTATTCATAGAATCAGAGGGAAGGATAAGGAATCAAGCTCAGAAAGCATATGGATCCTATTGGCTCCCTGGAGGTTTTAGGAGAGAAATTATAAATGCAGTGGGATGAAATGACACCAATAATTTTTATTCTTTTCTAAGTGTATTGGGAATCCAAATCCTGAAGAAGAGATTTGATTGAAAGATGAACTGTACCCCAAATAAATCCCTTCTAGCTCTACCAAAATTAAAAAGTTTTTTTGCAGGGAAAAGAACACATAAAATTTATTACATGCCTGTGAAATGGAGGTATTAGATTCCCCCCAAAAGAATTCTAATTAGAAAAATCAATGTACTGGTAGAGAAAGGAAGAAAAAACTTTGTTGAGAGGCTAAAAAAGTACAGTAACTCTAAAATCAGACTTTCAGTAGAACAGAATTAAAAAAGCCACTAGTAGACTTGTATATTGTATATAACAACTTATCATATTAAGTATTTTTTTAAGTTAGTGAGAATACAAAGATTATTTCATGAGTTATGTTTAAGAAATTGATGATTTGAGACAAAAGAAAAATTCCTCCTTTATATTCTGAAATAATTTCAGTTGATTGAAATGAGTAAAAGGTTAAAAATGAAAATAAACTAAGAAGAAAATTTAGATTAGTATTTTTCTGTTAGTGCAATTAGGACTTACTGCTCATATAAAAAGTAAAGGAACAAAGTCATCTAGGAATTGATTTGACTATGAAAAATCAGTGATACGTAAGGAAATCCCCTATTTAAAATAACAAAGAACAAAATGAGAGAATACATACAGCAAAGGATAAATATATTTCTTGGTATTTATATGCACATTTCTACTTTTTGATAAAAAGAAAAAAAAAGGGAAAGAACCTTTGTAAAAAAATCTACCAAGAACATTAAGTAAGGTATGAGACCAATGAAAAACATGAAAAATACTTAAACCAACTATAATTAAGAAAGACTAACATTAAAGAAAATGATGGTACTCAGGATGTTATAAAAAGTTCCTGTATCTTGCTGATGGGAATAGAAATTTATAAAACCTTGAAGGAGGTCCATTTCGTGACTTTGTATTGTATATCCTCAGAAAATTATCACATTCTTCTGGGATTGGTTCTCTCCTGCACCATTTCTTTTCATTGTTCTCCAGACCTATAGTGCAGCCATTACCTTCGGACATCTTCATATCATCTCTCTTTTGGATCCTGTTCTTAGGCTGCTTGTTGCTTTGATTTCTTTTTTTTTTTTCCTTTTTCTTTTATTCATATATGCATACAAGGCTTGGTTCATTTCTCCCCCTGCCCCACCCCCTCCCTTACCACCCACTCCGCCCCTCCCTCTCCCCCTCAATACCCAGCAGAAACTATTTTGCCCTTATTTCTAATTTTGTTGTAGAGAGAGTATAAGCATAATAGGAAGGAACAAGGTTTTTGCTGTTGAGATAAGGATAGCTATACATGGCATTGACTCACATTGATTTCCTGTGCGTGGGTGTTACCTTCTAGGTTAATTCTTTTTGATCTAACCTTTTCTCTAGTACCTGTTCCCCTTTTCCTATTGGCCTCAGTTGCTTTTAAGGTATCTGCTTTAGTTTCTCTGCGTTAAGGGCAACAAATGCTAGCTAGTTTTTTAGGTGTCCTTCCTACCCCTCCTTGTGTGCTCTCGCTTTTCATGTGCTCATAGTCCAATCCCCTTGTTGTGTTTGCCCTTGATCTAATGTCCACATATGAGGGAGAACATACGATTTTTGGTTTTTGAGGGCTAACCTCACTCAGAATGATGTTCTCCAATTCCATCCATTTACCAGCGAATGATAACATTTTGTTCTTCTTCATGGCTGCATAAAATTCCATTGTGTATAGATACCACATTTTCTTAATCCATTCGTCAGTGGTGGGGCATCTTGGCTGTTTCCATAACTTGGCTATTGTGAATAGTGCTGCAATAAACATGGATGTGCAGGTGCCTCTGGAGTAACAGTCTTTTGGGTATATCCCCAAGAGTGGTATTGCTGGATCAAATGGTAGATCGATGTCCAGCTTTTTAAGTAGCCTCCAAATTTTTTTCCAGAGTGGTTGTACTAGTCTACATTCCCACCAACAGTGTAAGAGGGTTCCTTTTTTCCCGCATCCTCGCCAACACCTGTTGTTGGTGGTGTTGCTGATGATGGCTATTCTAACAGGGGTGAGGTGGAATCTTTGTTGCTTTGATTTCAAAGGAGCGCATAGTATAGTAGTTTCAAAGAAAGGGTATTTGAGAGGTCAGTGTTACAGTCTTTCATGTCTGAACGTGCTTTTATCTATTAAAATATTAGGGGATAATTTTATCTGTATAATTTGGCTAATTAGAATTTTAGATTGAAGGCCATTTGTCTTGGAATTTGAAGGTCTTGCTTTAATGGTTTCTAGGTACTTGGGTTGCTGTTGAGAAGCCCAGTAATATGGTTTGTGTTGCTTCATTTGTGACCCTTTTCTCACTTTTTTTTCTTTTGTTTTTAAAAACTTTTCATTATGGAGAACTTTAAACATATATAAAGTAGAATAGTAAAATGAATTTAGTAATACTCATCATGAGCTTCAACAATTATCAGTTTATGGCAATTTTGCATCATTTTTACTCACATTCCTTCTTCCCATACAACATTGAAAAAATTTCCCATACATCACATCATTTTAGCCATAAATATTTCTAAAAATAAGGAATCCATTATTTAAAGCCACCTTATCAATATCACAGCTAAATTGTTTAATAGTAATTACTTAGTATTATAAAAAGTCCAGACATTATTCAAATTTTAATTTGCCTATTTATAATAGGCAAATAAAGTATTTGCAGTTTGTTTGAAGCTGAATTCCAATTAGGTCTACAAATTATAATTGATATGTTTCTTTTTTTCTTTTAACATTTTTATTAGCATATTGTTGTACTGGGGCACACTGTGACATTACAAAAGTACTTGTAATGTATCTTAGTTAGATTCATCCCTCCATCATTCTCCTTTATCCTTCCTTCTCTGTGTTTTACAATAGTTTTTAACAGTACTCATTGTTCCATTTTTATACATGGGTATATAACATTTCACCATATTTGCCCTTCTTCACCCTTTCCTTATGCTGTTCCTCCCCCCACTGGTACCAACCCCCAAATAGGACCTGTTTTATCTTGCTGTCCTTCATTTTTGAAAAAAGACATTTTTGTCTGTTTAAAATAGCTATTCAGGGAGTTTCATTATGACATTTCCATGTATATGTATTGTATCCCTAACTAGTTTGAACTCCAGTCTCATGCTTGTTAGGCAGATGCTCTACCACTTGAGCCATTCCACTAGCCCTTTTTATGTTGGATAGTTTCAAGATAGGGTCTCATGAACTGAACTGTTTGCCCAGGCTGGCTTTGAATTGTGGTCCTCCTGGTCTTTGCCTCCCAAGTAGCTAGAATTACAGGTGTGAGGTCTTGGCTCCTGGCTTTATATTCATTCTTGTATAGAAAGTACATCAACTTTAAAGTAAAGTTCACCTTCTTTACTTCCTTCTTTTATCCTC